GGCTGCATGTATTTACCGTCTCATACGGCGCCACAACTCAACCTCAACATAATGTATAAAAGTAGCGTTGAGTTCTAAATGCAAATTAAAATAATTTGCCGTCACGGTTTCGGTTCAAAGACGACTCAAAGTTTGGTGATTTCACGTTGTTGTTTTGCAAAGGACGGCTAAGAAATGTGCTAAGTTTTAAAATTCACGTGCTGAGCTATTGTTCTGCCAATTAGATCTTCTGTTTTTCTACGTCCTCGTTGCCGTTGCCAACGTGGTTTGCCCCTGAGGTCTCTAATGATCAGGCGGCGTGACGAAGCGTCTGTTGACGGGTGGATGAAACCATAGTTGCATATATAACTTGGTATTTAATGCACGGCGTGACCCAGAAAGTATTGGTCCACGTGAAAATCATTTTGCGAGTATATTTCCATTTCAGCTTTGACGTGTAGTATTTCTTCTTGGGTTTAACATCCTTATCAAGCAGTCGGCTCTAACACCGGTACAATAAATTTTTTTCGTCGACTAAATTCGAACATCTCGCTAAATAGCGATATGGCAAACTGTTCAACCGAGGCACAAATACCTTTGCATGAAATCGACGGTGATCCTGAAGTGAAGACGTCTGGAAAAGGAGAATTTAAATGAATATTCTTCGACAAAATCAAACTAATAGCTGTTGCCATTGTTATTGTTCTCTTGCTGATTATCATAATAGTTCTCGCCGCCATCCTTGGTCAAGAACGTGCCAGAAGAGGAAAAGACGAGATCCGTAAGTAAAGTGATTACTTGTAGCGCTGTAAAAACATGCTCTCAGTTTCATTTCAATCCTGCTTTCCTGGAAAGGTCCTTGAATTTCTCATATTAAATTACAGTACGTTTCTCAGATAGATGGTACTTTATTAACTAGCTGTAACATTATGGACATCTCGCTTCTCGATTTGCCGAATGTCGGTGGATATGATACATTAATAGCGATTGTGGTCTGTTTGAAGAAATATGCCATCACATTTACTGTTCTCTATATCTAGTGACTTATCTCGACGAGAATTTCAATCACTGTAGTGCCAGTAACTTGTTTTTTTTTCTTTAACCTGCTTGAAAGTTTGATTTAGTCATTGTCTGAATTTCTATTATTTACGCGTTCAACTTTTATGCAAATTACACGTTGGCAAACGGATATGATATGAATAATTATTTGTCTGTGACGGCAAAACAACCAGGTCCATAGCTTGAAACCCGGTTTAACCTGCGTAAAACACAGCTTTGACAGTTTCTGCATTTCATTTTGTAGAGTAATGTCTCGAAGACATAGATGTTAGCGAGACCTGGCGATAGTTTTCCTTTTTATATTTTGGTCCCTTTTTATAAATTGGAATAACGTGTGCAATTTTCCAGTCGTTGGGTAGTGAGCCGGATTGGAACGACATGTTAAATAGTTACAAAGTGACGTAGATAATTCCAGTTCACATTCTTTTAGGATACGAGGCGATAATTTATCAGGACCTGGGGATTTGTGTATGTTTAGGTTTTTCAGATGTTTTTCCACTTCGCTAGGTGTACATAATACATTGCACAACTTTTCATTGAGAACATGATCAAATTCCGGAAGAGACTTTTGTTCTTGTTTAAATACTGATGCAAAATATGCGTTCATATGTTGTGCAATCTCCTGATCCCCAGTAATTTCTACACTTCCATCTTTTAGGAACAATAGGTGAGACTTGAGAGGTCTGCTGTGGAGGGAACTACTGGAAGCGTGGTGGCAATGCTGTTTATTATTGCCAACAATTATTCAGACACCAGAATCAGTTACTAAGTGTCCCGTTTCAACCCACACTTCCAAAAAGGAACAATCGTGAGACTTGAGAGGTCTGCTGCGGAGGGAACTGCTGGAAGCGTGGTGGCAATGCTGTTTATTATTGCCAACAATTATTCAGACACCAGAATCAGTTACTAAGTGTCCCATTTCAACCCACACTTCCAAAAAAATAACTCCTGCATGCGTAGCATGCCTATGTTTTAAATATCCGATTGAAAATAGATAGTAACACCTACTTTGCCCTAGAACAGCTCTCAAGCATGGCAGCTCCTTTATTCGGGCCCATTGTGTGCCAGCATAGTTAGTAGAGGGGTCCTTTCTACTAACTACGGCGCCACGTGAAGAGAACGTAAAAGGGGTATTTTCACAAAATCGAACCCAAGGTCATTTTGGCTCCTTGTTGGGTCGGATGTGTCACATGATCACACTTCTGCTCGAACAAGAATTTTTAAATGGCTGTGACAATTACTGATTTACGTATTACTGACGACCACACTTCAAGAACTGCTGCTGAAGTGTTGTCGAACCTGCAGCTTGATCAAGGTTCACCAGACGCTAAACAGAAATGCGATATGCTATTTAGAGACCTTGATTTTCCAAGTGAACATCAAAACGAAGAGGACTACAGTCAGTTTGTTTTTAATGGCCAGTGTTTGATACTGGGTGACTCCTGGGCTGGAAAAACGAGCTTAGTGAACTCTCTCACTAAAAAGCCGTTTGACAGTGAAGAGTCAAGTACGCTGGGAGTCCACAGAAACTCGGTAGACCGGGAGTGGCAAAAGACAAGCCTCGAATTCGGAGATTTTGCTCGATTCGGAAAAGCTGTTCGTTCCGTAAGAGCTCTAATTTCATCAGAAGGATACGTAGCTTTTGAAAACGTAACATCAAAACTATCTTCTTTTTTTATTTGGTCGCTGTATTTGTTTTTTTCAGTGCTAGTATGGGAGTTAACGAATCCATTTATTCTTTTAATAGTGCTACAAATTACTCTTTTACTTGGCATTCTGCCTCCATGCCCTCTTCATTTCGCAATAGGTCTCCTGTTTGCTCATTTAGCGGGCGGTGTTTTTAAAGGTATGAACTGTTGCTGTACAGGGTTACCGTGCATTGGACGTAAACATTTAGATTTGCTTTATTACAAATTTATGGTAACTATGTTACGCCTTTTTTACCTTAGTTCCCTCACTGGCAAATGTATTGATTACTTCTTAGTACCCCTAGAGAAGAAGTGGTTACGTTGGCGTATTCAGAGGCGTCGGGGTGATATTATTTTTAAAAGTTCTCTTCCGGGACAAGTGAAAGTCTACAATTACAGACAAGTTTTCTCTCCGGAATTAAACTTTTATGCGATAGGATCTTTGATTAACGGAATTGGTCTAGGTCTCAGTGCTGAATTGTTGATCGATATGTCTATTCTCGGTTATTGTGAAATTCTTCATTACTGTGCACTACTATGCTGTGTTTTGGTCTATCAGTTCTTTGGTTCATTCGTTCATTGTGTAAGGGAAGTCATTTCATGGAGGGAATTGTAAGCCCTATTTTATCTATTTGTATATTCGAAAATACGCAGTATAATTGGAGATCATCTTTTCCAATGTTTTTGTATGTAGCAATGCTTGCAGGATGTGCCTGTTGTGCAAGAATCTTCCATACAAATTCTGAATCAAACTTTGTTACTCGTAGCTACAATGATGTCTTGGTACAAAAGGTAACACTGAATTACCAAGAATTAAGACAGGCTTTCAATGCCAAGTTTTCAAGTCTCACATTGAGCATTCTAGACTTTGGAGGGGATTATAAAGAACATTTTGCATACCATCATCTCTTCTACAGAAGTCAAGCAATGTATGTTGTTGTCTTTGACTTGACACATTTTACTGCTGGCAATTTCCAAAATATAAAAGCAAACCTCCAAAGAATTTGTTTCTGGTTGGAATCCATCCGTGGTAAAGTAGCGACAAAGACACCAATGTTTCTTGTTGGGACACACAGAGGAAACATGAGTAAGGCCTGCCTTGGTGATTTGAATAAACATCTGCAACAGAGCCTTTGGAAAACCTTTTCTGATGATCTGATGATGAATGAAGAAGATAAGTTGATGTATTTTCCTGTTGAAAACAAATATGGAATTCATGATCAAGGAATTAAAAATCTTCAAAGGAAACTGATCCACATAGCTGAGGAATACCAAACAACTTTGGGATGCACAGTTCCATTTTCATGGATTAAAATTCAAGATGCAATCATTAATTTGTGGGAGGATCACAAAGCAAAGTTCTGTGTATCCCTGGAGCATTTTCCAAATTCATTTAGTCACTTTATTTGCAGCAACTGGTCCAAGGAAACTTTGAAGTATTTTCATTAAAAAGGCATTGTGATTTACATTGACAAAGGTGAGAATTCAGTGATTTCTAAGTGGGTTCTTCTGAAGCCATCACTTCTAGTTGACATCACAATTCAGCTGATCACTCCAAGGACAGATGATGAATTATTTTCACAACATGGATTCAGGCGTGATTGGACATTGCTACACAACAAAGGAATGCTTACAAATTCCCTCTTGAGGCACATTCTTGCTAGAATCCAAGAAAATGAAGTAGCAATGACAGGCTTTCTTGAGGAGTATGGCATTATTTGTCCTTTATTTTACATGGTTGACAATGACATGACCGAGGCAACAGTAACACATTTTGTTCCTGCACTGCTTCCAGTTTCAGTGGAAGGGAACAAATCAGTTTGGATTGATCATCCCACAGACAAGAGGCTGTATGTGTTCTTTGAGAGATTTCTGCCAGAGTCTCTTTTCCACCGTCTTTTATCACGTGCTCACCAACTTAACAAGGAATCCATCTTCAAGGGCCAGCCTTTAATAAGCAGGAATATTGGCAGGTTTTGGCTGACACCCACTCAGTCCTACAGGCTGCTGTATCTTAAGGAGGAGGATATAATCGAAGTGACATTTAGCTTCAGGTTTGTAAAATCAAAGAGTATTGGTCATGAATAGGAATCAAAGCACAGCTGTCTCTGACATACATGATGCAGATACCATTGAAGAAAATTACACCCATTTACAGTGATAATCCTCACATTAACAAATTTTTTCTCTAAGACATAAAGCAGACCTGTAAGATAAGGTTAGAATGTCCTCTGCCATGTGATGCTCATTAAGCCAAATTAAGCAGCAGTGACA